CTACCCAGGGCTCAGGGACCACTATGGAAGGGGGCGGGAGGTAAAGATTGTAAGAGCCAGGGGTGATGGATGACTGCAAGGAAATAGAATTTTCCAGGCTTCTGGGACCTTGTTCATATGAACTTACAGCAAAGCTGACAGCATGCAAACTCAAACTAGACAAAAATCTAGCTTGGAACTGGGGAAATAGGCAAGAAGCCCCAACCTTAGCCAAGGAACTATTGATAGCTGATCATTCCTGGGTGAGGGAGAGTTGGTCTTCTTTAAGGGAGTGATGCTAGATAGGCTGACCAGACTCCAGTGGATGAATTCACATGGAGGGATATCTGGGGACACAAAGTTGACTTGATAGGCCTTAACACATATGACCAAATGCATGAAATCTGGTAGGGGGTTTATAGGAGGGGCACAAGGGGGAGGGACCCAAAATATTGTAATAGGGCCCCTTCTTGACCATAGCTACACCACGTTCAAGTTTAGGCTGACTCTAGTCTCTGAAATTATCAGACAGTTGGTCCATGGAACATATGTCAGCTGAACCCCGGATGTAGGTCAGAGTGTCCTAGAGAGCACCTGGTAACTGAAGATTTATGGCTTCTGAAGGTTATGCTTGGCTTGTTTCTGCAAAATAGTAATTGTTGCTTAATAGAATAGAAATTGTTAAGGGGACTGTAAGCCTGGGAACTTCAACTTTTCACCCATGGTTATAATTTTTTTCTGTATAAAAGTTGACCCTAGAGATGGCTCAGGGCTATGCACTTGGGTTCCTGACACCCTTGTGTAGTAGCCCTGGCCAGTAATGAATTTCATTCAGCAAAACTTTGTCTGAACGGTCTCTGGTGAAGCACCCCACAACAATATGATCAAGATATGTTGCATGAAATGCACAAAAATTCATTTGAAATATGCATTGAAAAATTTACAGTTTTTAAAAATATATTTGTGTGTGTGTGTGTGTGTGTGTGTGTGTGTGTGGTGTGTGTGTGTGTGTGTGTGTGTACTTCTGTCTTGGTACGTGTGTGGATGTCAGAGGATAACTTGTCCTAGTCGGTTCTTTCCTCCCACCAAGGGGTTGCAAGGATTGATCTCAGGTAGGCAGGCTTGGTGGCACATGCCTTTTCCTTCTGAGCCAGCTCATTTGCCCCACATCCATCTTTTTGAGTAATTAACTTTGGAAATCTTCCGCCGTTCTGCTTATTTTATCTCTGAGCTCAGCGGCTGAGGAGTTGTGATCCTTTGGAGGAGTTACGCTGCTTTGCTTTCTCATGTTCCTCGTGCTGCTGCTCTGTGATTTGTACATCTGTTGGCTCGGCTATCTCTTCTGTTTTTAAGAAAATATTCTATATTTATTCATTTGGTTTTTTGAGACAGGGTCTCGCTGTATCCCCAGCTGTCCTGGAACTCACTATGTAGATGAGGCTGACCTCAGCCTCACAGAGATCTGCCTGCCTCTGCCTCCTGAGTACGGGGATTAAAGGTGTGCACCCATGCCTGGCTATTATTTTTTTTAATTATGTGTGTATGTGTGTGCGTTTGTGCATGTGAGTGCAGTGCCCACAGATTCTCCTAAAGCTGAAGTTACATGCAGTTGTAAACTACCCAATATAGGTGCTGGGACTTGAACTTGGATCCTCTGGAAGACCAGGATGTGCTCTTACTTGCTGAGTCATCTCTCCAATCACGCTCTTCTGATTTTATGTGGGGATTTTATTATTGAATCATAAAGGAGGAAACAAATTGTTGTAACAGCAACAATATCAAACCATACAAGACAAAAAGATATAGAAAGAAATACACTTAAAATTGATTTAAGCTCACAAATATATCACCAATGTTGATGAAATAGAAAATGGCAAAATTAATGTAGAATGTTCTATGAAGTTAAAAATTATCTGGGGTAAATGTGAAAACTGTTAATGAATGACATTTGAAGGAGGCAGGGAAAGGGGAAAATAGAGGAGAGGAGAGGTTAGGAAGGGAAAAGGAAAAGAGGCATGAAGAACATTATGACTGGGAAAAGGGTAAATAATTAGAGAAAAGAAAAAACAAAAACTCCAAACAAACAAAAACCACCACCAAAAACAGATAATGTAAGATGTAGACAAATGTAAGGGGGGGGGAGAAATGTAAGCCTTGAAAAAGAAAAGATCAAGTCAGAATATTATTAAAACTGTAGTAGAGAGAGAATAAAGGGAACCAAGTAGCGAAAGATAAATGAAGAATTAAAAAGAAAAGAAAAAAGATTGTCCAATAATGAAGAGTATGTGTAAACACATTATACAAATGTATGATGGGGAATAAAAATAATACAATGAAAAGTTTTAAAAATATGATAAAATAGCCGGGCGTGGTGGCACACGCCTGTAGTCCCAGCACTTGGGAGGCAGAGACAGGCGGATCTCTGTGAGTTCGAGGCCAGCCTGGTCTACATAGTGAGTTCCAGGCCAGCTGGGGCTACAGGGAGACCCTGTCTCAAAAAGACCAAAAAATAAGATAAAATAAAAATAATGCTAAAAGTATTAGGACCCGGGTTCGATTCCCAGCACCCACATGGCAGCTACTAACCATATTTAACTCCTGTTCCAGGGGAATCCAAAGCCCTCTTCTGACCTCTGCAGCATTGCACGACACTGGTGCACTCAGAAACATGCAGGCAACTCACACACATACCCCCCCCCAAAAACAATAAAGTCTTAAAAAAAGTGTATGGGGACCATCACGGGAAAGATGAAGCATTGGAACAGCCTCTTTCTGGGTTCTCAAAACTTGGAGTCTGTTATACGTCCATCTGGTTGGGAGATTCAGTTGCTACCATGGACTCTTGTCTTTCTTGGGGTCATGCCACTGTTGAGTGCATCCTGGGCAAGTCTGCAGAGCTGGCTTTCTAGGAGCTTCCCTTCTATGCTGGGCAGGCTCTCTCAGCCTCACATCATATACCCTGGGGCTAATGTGCTAGCCAGCCAGAGTCAGAATTCTAAGTGTGTTTCTGTGGGAAGCAATCATGGTCTCTGTACAGGTGGAGAATCTGTCTATGCTTTCAAGGTCTTGTAAGTATTGATCCAGAGAGATCCCACTCAGTCAGAGGGCTGTCCTTCATTCAGAGTTCTTGTTCTCTACAGCAGTGAGCAGCAAATGACCATCCACAGAGGAGTCACTGTCACACCAAGCCTGCTACTGGATTTTGGTCTGTGTTCCTGTGTGTGTGTCTCCCTCTCTCCACCAGGCTGTGCGGCTTGCCTTTTGGGTGGGGAGTCTGCTTCCCCTCTTGCTGGGCAGCCCTGGCTGGAGGTGGGTCGCCAGGCTTTTATGTTTTTGATGTACTTTTTAGCAGTTCTGTCACTGAGTTTTTGAATTGCTGAGACTCTTCCTCTTTTTGAAAGTCTATTCTTATCTTTTTGGTTGTGAGCCTGAGCCTTTAATGGCTGTGCCCGCTCTCCAGCCCAACAGTCTATTCTTATAACAAGGTCACCAAATGCCTAAATCTCTGTAAGGTTAACTCTTTATCAAATGTATATTGTGAGGGAGGAGGAGGCGTAACCATGGAAGCTGTTTCAACCTAAAATCTGCTCAGATTTAGTTAACTAGTGGATTCTGTCTTTCCATAGTCTTCTTGTAAGGCAATATTACCAACTAATCTTTTCGATTCCTTTTTAAAGCGGGCCTGACTGAGTTTAGTGTCCACCACTATGAAGTGTAAATCTGGGAATTTTTTCAGTTATCTCAACTTTCTTTGCCCATTAGAGTGCTCCAAACTCCCTATACCTGGAGACTCTGTGGCCTACTGTCTGCTCATATAAGGAACACTCAGTCCACCACCGACTCTGCTGAGTCAGCTCCCACAGCTTAGTGTGATTCTAACACACACTAGAGTGAGAAGCACCGATTTAGAACTTGGCACTTTGCCTGGTCATTTGAACCTGACCCTCTCTGTATCAGGGAGGTGAGGCGACAAGCCCAGCAGTAACAGCTGTGCCAAGAACAGGCAGCACCCGGGGGACGCAGACACTTCGCATCATACCAAGTCCTGCTTGCACAGGAAGACAACCACTAAATATCGGCTGCCTTGGAAGGGGACCTCAGGGACATCTGCAGGCTGTGGAGCAGGAGGAAAGGGTGGAACAGGAAAGGGAGGAAAGCGAGTTCCTGCACTCCCAAACCCACACTTAGTCTAGGTGCTACTTCCCCCTTTTTAGTCCACAGCTCTGCCCATCACCCCTCTGCTTGACCTTTTTCTCTAGTTGCATTTTGCCCCATATTAGAACGGCGCTATCTAAAACTTCCCCATGAATTAGAAAGCTTAAGTCTTCGGGGACTGAATGTGCCTGTTTTCCTAGTTTGGCAGTTCTGTGATTTTATGGTGTAGTCATGGTGAAATCTGAGTCATCTTACCATAGCTGGTGCCAAAGAGGGTGTAGGGGAGGCAGCTACAGGCAAACCAGGGCTCAGAAGAGCTGGGGGACCAGTAACCGCCAGACACCTTCCTTTATTTCCAGAGACGCGCTACTCCGGATCCTCAGTGTGCTTAGACAAATTGTTCCAAGCTCTAGGGTTCAAAGAGTTACCGCAGCAAACGTATTTAGAGATGTAGCTACAAGGATAGAAGCATCTTTTCAGACAGTCGTTTCTCAGGGTTTCAAGTGGCATTAGCTAACCTTTTTTTTTTTTTTTGCCAGAATGTTTTTTCATTACGTCCTTAAACAAAACAACAACAACAAAAACCCAGGGCCAAATCCAGGCCTGTGCCCCTCTTGTAAAGCAAACTGTAACTTTTTCTTAGAGAGGAAAACAGCATACTTTAACTTTTTTAATCTTAAGGAAGAAGTTTTTCTCTGTCCTCTTTCATACACACTAAATGGCTACCAGTATATACCCACTGGCTTGCGTGTGTGTTCCGGCACGCGCGCTGGCCATTTCTTTAAAATCTGACTCATAGTCTGGAGGACAATGATTGATTTTTTTCCACTTCACATCGCTGCTGTGAATCTATCTGCTCACAAGGATGGGCCTGTTTATTCGCTCCGGGCATTGCAGGGAGAGCGCTAGAGTAAACAAGCCCAGATTGAGGGCGGCGGGGAAGTGGGCGCTCCGTTTCCCGCGGGCCGCAGGGAAGGTGCGGCGGGCCAGGTGGGGCCGAACCTGCAGAGACCGCTTTCTCCCCGGGACGAGCCAGCGCCATTGTGATGCGGTGGGCGGGGTGAAGCCATCGAGTCCTGCCTCAATTTAGGGCTCCCCGCTTCCAGGCGCGCCCATTTCAGATCGCTGCACCCAGGTCTCGGGGGAAAACCCGGAGGAGGTGGCCGGCCACACCCGCCGCGGTGCGCGCTCTGCAGGCAGACGCCGGGATGCGGGGCTCGCGGCTGCTGGGCGCTGCCCACCTTCTCTGCCTGTGCGCGGCCGCGCTGGCCCTCCGTCCCCGGTAGGAACGGGCGGGCGCGGGCGGGGAGGGCGCGGGCCGGGCCGCGGCGCCGAGGGCAGCGGGCGGCAGGCGGGCTCTGGCCTGTGGACCGGCGGTCGGGGCTTGCTGAGGCTCTTTCTGGCTGCCAACACCTCTCTAAAGTACGTCTTTCTAGTTTCAGATCACATTGCCTCTAACTTTGGTATCTCAACTTTTTGCTCCTAAACAATGTGCCTCCTTTTCTCAGAAACTTTTTTTCCCCCTAAACAGGATGCTTCAGCTGTGATATAGTTGTCAGTGTGAGGTGCCCGAAACGTAGTGAGATTGCCATACCAGATGTTGAAGGAAGATAACTAAACAAGATATGAAAGTGCCCCGTTCCCAAAGCTGTGCGATTTAAAAAAAAAAAAAAAAATTCATTTTTTTCAGCTGTGTCATACCTTCAGCAGAGAAAACGATTTTTTAAACTTTTATTATTTTTGCATAGGGTTTCATTTTGTAGCCCAGGCAGGCTTCAGACCCTGGGCAGTTCTCCTGCCTCAGGCTGCGGGATTCCAGGCCTGCACCACCACACCGCCTGATTGGGACTTCCCGCTTTGCTCACCTCGCTGACACTTTATTTTCAGATGGTGATTTTGGTCTATGGGATCTGCTAAGTGGGTTTTTTTTTTTTTTTTTTCTTTTTTTTTTTTTTTTTGGGGGGGGGGCCCCCCTGCCCCCCCCGGGTCCCTGGAACCGTGTGTGTGTGTGTGTGTGTGTGTGTGTGTGTGTGTTCCTAAGCAAGTAATCACGCAGAGATGAGGTTGTCTGTGCAGAAGCTTGGAGGCTTGTACTTTGCAGTAACTTCTGCATGCTCTAGAAGGTGTCTTTTGCTCTGTGGCTCCTCCTCTGCACTGTAAGTGTTTGGGAATTACTGCTGTTTCTCTGGCAGTCCAAGCACTACTGAACAGCAGTGGAACCCTGTTAATTTTTACTGCAGTGCAGTAGTATGGACAGCCTCACTCTCCACGTGTGAGGTTAAGAAACTTGGTTTCTTGGGCCAATTCTAGGTACAGGCAGGGTGATCTCTGTGAGATGGAGGCCAACCTGGTCTACATAGTGAGTTCAGGCCAGCTGGAGTTAAGGGGGAGATCCTGTCTCAAAAAAAAAAAAAAAAAAAAAAAAAAAAAAAAAAAATAAAAAAAAAGAAAAAGAAAGAAAGAAACTTGGTTTCTCCTTTGTTGGGAACCCTAGGCCCAGCTTTCTGGTGATAGCCCCAGGGATCATCAGGCCTGGAGGAAATGTCACTGTTGCGGTGGAGCTTCTGGAGGACAGCCCCTCAGAGATCATGGTAAAGGCAGAGGTTTTCAAGACTGCATCAAACCAAACCGTCTCTGTTCTGGAAGCAGAAGGAATCTTTGAAAAAGGTGAGATAAACTGCATAGTCATATAGTCATAGTTGAAATATGATAATAAACCATGGAACCTGAATTTACAGCAACTTCTACAATTTCCATCTAATTCTCACTCCTGTCAAGTCTGAAACTGTCCCTGAGTGTTCTTCCAAATGGAGATTTAGAGACCCAGGTTCCTTCCACATGTGGCCCCATATGCAGCTGGAAGACTGCAAGGAGGAGCACAGAGTTTGTTATGTGGGAGGTGTTTGTGCCCTAGGCCCAGAAATGACATTTGCCACCTCTGCTAATGCTCAGTCAGCCAGGAGGCTGGGAAGCACAGGCTAGTGTATGCCAGAAGGGGCTAGTAATACCGTGCTTACTGGTGCAGTGGACTTTACTAAATAAACAATGCTAACTGGGTGCAGTGGACTTTACTAGCCAGTGGGAAGAAAAAGAAGAGCAACACAGTCCAGTTTTATGGAATGGTAGACCTGATTTTATGGACTAATAATAGTAAAAAAAAAAAAAACACCAAAAATAAATGGGAGGAAGTAACATGAAAAAGTAGCTTCATTTGTAAAAAGAACCATTTTTGGTTTCAAGTTTGAATTCTAATCTGGCCCAGGATTGTATTAGGCCAATGAATGTCTTCTTTTTCAGTACTAAGAGAAAAATAATTCTAGGAGTTATCACTTAATACTGAAGATATTGATACTTAAAATGGGAAGTTATTATAATTTTTCCTGGTTGCAAGAGCACTGTATGTCCAGTGATTACACCTTGATAAACACTGGCATTAAAGGGAGTAAACGCAAATCACTGGTGATTCTGGCACTCAAATCTAAATGCTATTAACTAAAACCATATTACAGTAGGAACTGAGGCGTAAATTGCTATGAATTTAGGAGTCAACTTAAAAAAAAATCACTTAAGGGGTTGGAGGGATGGCTCAGCCATTAAGAGCACTGGCTGCTTTTCCAGAGGACCTGGGTTGGATTCCCAGCACCCACACGGCAGCTAACAGTCATCCTTAACTCCAGTTCCAGGGGCTTTGACACCCTCTTCTGACTCCATGGGCATTGCATGACACAGGTGCACTTAAATACACACAGGCAATAATAAATAAAATATTTTAAAAAATCACTTAAGAGTGAAGAGTAGATGAGATTCAACAACTGTCCTTTACGTGAATGTTGATCTTTACCAGCATAGAGACATTGACACCATCATCAAATGTGCTTCTTTGCACAGGAAGTTGACTGGCTGGGTGGGTAAATGGGATGGGAATCAGGAGGAGGGTATGCTGGGGCCAGGCTGTTTCTCATGTGGGGAAGCAAATTCAGGGAAATGAGGCCTTGTTTCCCTGGAGAGGAAGTGTGGGTTAGTTTTAAAAATTGGAGCTTTTAGCTGGGCATGGTACTGCACACCTTTAATCCCAGTACTTGGGAGGCAGAGGCAGACAGATCTCTGTGAAATCGAGGCCAGCGTGGTCTACATATCAAGTTCCAGGCCAGCTATGTCTACAGGGAGACCCTGTCTCAAGAAAACAGAACAAAACTGAGCTTTGTGTGTGTGTGCACACGTATGTGTCTATGTGTGCACATGCATGTGGATGCCAGAGGACAACCTCATGTCATTGCCAAGAAGAAGCTGATGCCTCCCAGGTGCTGGGATTAAAGGTAAGGTGAGTGCCACCACACCTCTTTTTTTCTTTTTTTTTTTTCTTTTTTTCTTAGGGCCTCCCTATAGCCCCAGCTGTCCTAGAACTCACTATGTAGACCAGGCAGTCCTTGAGCTCACAGAGATCGGCCTGCCTCTGCCTCCCTAGCGCTGGGATTAAAGGTGTGCACCACCACACCCGGCCCCCACCTTGTTTTATGAGATAGGCTCTCTCACAGCCCTGGAGCTCACTGATGAACTGGGCCTTCACACTACTGTGATACTAGTTGTATGATCCTGGGCAGGTCTCTTAAACTGCTGTGAGCATCAGTTTCCTCACCTGGGAAATGGAGGTAATGAAATTGACCTCTTCCTGCAGTTATCAAGTTAAAACCTAGCATGTACTACCTATGGGGCACTCAGTACACAATAACTGCTAATATCAACAATAATATTAGAGAAGCAGATATAGAAACATATGGGGGCAGACACTAATTTTGTTACTGAAGTATAATTTCTGAAAATGAACAAATCCCTGTTTTGTGGTAGCTAAGGAAACACTGAAGTGTCAGATCCCAGGAGATAATACGAAGTTCTGTCTTCACTATATGTCCTTTAAGAATTTATGATTTTGGGGCTGGAGAGATGGCTCAGCAGTTAAGAGCACTGATTGCTCTTGTAGAGGACCCAGGTTCAAATCCCAGCACCCACATGGTGGCTAACAACTGTAACTCTAGTTCCAGGGGATCTGACACCCTCTTCTGACTTCTGCCAGCATTGGACGGTATGGGTGCACTTATATACATGCAAGCAAAACACTCATACACATTAAAAAATAATAAATAAAATATTAAAAAAGAATTTATGATTTTGACTCTAGTAAGGTGGCAGTTTTACTGTAATGTAGAGGTCCAGAATCACATGGTACATATTTGGGCTTTGCTTGGACAGTTACACACTCTCGGTTCAGAGTCCTGTTCTTTTCTATAGTCTTCTTCATTGGTTTCTCGTTTTTAACAAATATCACCTGCCCTGGAGGTGCATATTATCGTGCCTTGGTTTTCATTATAGTTCTAGATTTTTCTTGTGGGAGGAGCATCCCCCATATGCTTAAGATTAGAATGGAAAACTCTGCCCTGAGACTGGAGTGGATCCCTAAAAGGAAAGTGGGAAAATGCTGCTTTTTTCACTGGGTGCTTCCTGACTCAGTTGACATCACAGCCATTGGCACTCACACTGCTGGGAGCACTCCCCTCATTCAAGGAGAGCCTTCCTTACTCTACCATGTGGCTCAGCATTGTTCTCAGAGCAGATGCTTCCTGTAATGCTAGAACCTGAGGGTGAAGACACTGCTCCCTCCTTTCCCTCACATCCTTTCCTTTATCTGACTCCTGCAGTTGTAACAGTGTGCAGAAGATGATGACTTCCAAATCTGCAGGGGCTGATCATTATGGAATTCATGTTTTATTTTTTCCCACCACATAAACGCAAACAAATTCATTTTTGATCTGATTACTTCATCAGTTTCCTGAGGAAATTTCTCAAGAAAAGGTTAGTTTTAGCAGAGATTTGTCTCCTAGCAGAGCTAAGGAGGGGGACTGTTTCTAGAAATATTCCTGGGACAGGGTTGTGTGCCACCACATCAGTATATGCTTCTAGCTTAATTTGTGTCAGAAATGGTATTATCACTATTACTAAAGGAATCAAATTATCAAATTACAGAATGTGTTTTAATTTAATTTTTCTTTCCTTTTTTTTTTTTTTTTTGGTGTTTTGAGACAGGGTCACATGTAGCCTTGGCTGACCTTAGTTTTGAACTTCTGATCCTTCTGCCTGAGTCTTCTAAATTCTAGATTACGGGCATGTGCCACCATGTACAACAAAGATGTACTTTAGACCGAAAAGTATGGCTTTTATTCAGGGAAGAATTCATTTGTTTGTTTGATAGATGGGGAAATTTGATTTGATTGTGTGTGTGACTTGTCTTTTAGAAAGTTTTTCTTCTAAGGTTTATGGAATTCTGTTTTTCAGTGGTGAGATTCGGAGTTTCAGGTGAACTCATTATCACCTTAGTACCACTCTCAGCAGCAGTTGTGTTATCACCATCATCTCTACGTGGAATATGCATAAGTTCATAATCTTGTCTTCCTTTATATGCAAGAGTTAGTTCAACAGACACAATTGACAAAACACAGTGAAAACTTAACAGATAATAAACACCAGAGAGGGGGCTGGAGAGATGGCTTAGTGGTTAAGAGCTTATACTGCTCTTGCAGAGGACCTGAGTTAGGATCCCAGGACCCACATTGGTGCCTTTCAACTGTGTGTAACTCCAGCTCTAGAGGGATGCCTCTGGCCTTGGTGGGTACTTATACACACACACACACACACACACTAACACACACACATACACACACACACACACACACACACGAGGTTAAAAACAAGAACAACAAAGCAGAGTAGATGGGGCAGCACTTGCTTGGGAATCTACATTGTGGGGTAAAGAGTGAGCCTTCTTTCCTCTTCCCTTGTCAGTTCTTAACTCTTTTTGATGTCCTTGAAATCATAATCTTCATTTTATTTTCCCTTCTCCAACTTGAAAATTTCATTTTTAACCATCCACTATTTTTCTTGAACAAAATTCACCTCAAATAATAAACAATAGTGGAAGCTTATAAATTCATCACCTCTAGTTTCCTGTAAACCTGATTTAAGAACAAAGCCTGACCTGAAGACACCAGTGGAAACGTGGGGACTCTACCTGGTGTCTCTGAGTGCCTGCCCACCTGGAGGCTCTGCTTTTTTATGCTGCCAGGCCTCTGTCTTCCTGCAACTCTGTATCCTCTGATAACTTGCTTTTTCTTTTTGTGCTAAAATCTTGCAGACTTAGTGGAATCTATTTGTCTTCTATCTTTTTTATAATTTTATTTATTTATTTTTATTTTATGTGTATGTGTATATTGCCTGCATGTAGGTAAGTGCACCCATGTTGTGCAATGCCCGCGGAAGAGGCTGTTGGATTCCCTGGAACTGGAGTTACGGACAGCTGTTAGCTGCCATGTAGGTGCTGGGATTCGAACCCAGGTCTTCTGTAAGAACAGTCAGTTTGTCTTCTATTTTTTTAATAGCTAAAAAATCTGCTTTATCCTTTAATATTTTCTCCTGTTGAGTATGGAATATTAATATTTTACTTTCTGTAACAATTGAAATATTTGAGATATTAGCTGAAAAACTTTTTAAAAATTATTTTCATTTTATGTGTATGAGTGTATTGCTTGCATATATGTAAGTACACCTATGTCTTTCAATACCCAAGGAGGTCAGAAGGCAGTGTCGAATTCCACCAGAACAAGAGTTGTAGATAGTTG